CTTTAAATTGCACAAGACTTCAGACTGCACAAAGACTTCTGGAACACTTTGTATGTAGCACTTACTTGTATAAGGACAGCTGAAAATTTGTACAGTGATGTGGGCCAAAGTGGAAACTCAGATAGGCTAGGGCTGTATAAATGAGGTTGTCCTTTATCAATAAATGCCTAGAAATAATTCATCCCTAGATTCTTATTGTTATCAAGAGGTTAATTTTTGGTTCTTTTTAATACTACAAAAATGAGAGACCACAATGCCATTTCCCACTGTAGAGTAAATATGCATGTTTAAAATATCCTCCTCAGAGAGAAGGCATAGATCAAGGCTCTGCATAAACAAAGGATTTCTTCAATGCAAGGCCACATATTGCACCATATGCAAACCAAGTTCAAACAAAATGAAAATGGTGTCACTGTAAGAGTCAGGAAATTCTCAATCATTTCAGTTCAGATTCAACTTCAAGCAAAGAATAGCTAATGGTGTGGGTCATGGTACCATAATTTCTCTTTCCTTTCCTATTTATAAATATTTCAGGTAAGGTTACTGGATTCATAGGCCCTACTTACAGACACTTTTACAGTGTCCCCAAATAACTCTCTTTGTAATCTTGAGTAACCATTTAGAGATGTCTGAGAATACACATTATTTAAGCAAAACACTCTAGGTTGATTCATGAGGACCAAACATCATTGTGCAAATATGGACTTGCTGTTAGATGCTGAATACATATAAGAGGTAGTGTTTTCAACTACTCATATTTTGGAGAGGAGAGGTAGAATGGACCACAACCAAAATAAGGTGAAGGTACCTGGGCTATTTCAAAGGAAAAGAATTTATATTGATTAGCTTTACATTTTAAATCTGATTAACTTCACACATTCATCTTTTAAAATCCAGTCAAATACCTCATGAACAAACATGGAAGGAATCAGAATTCACTGAAAGTATGGAGTATTGAATATCGGGGGATTTTTTTAATCCCACAGAGCACTCAACTTTGCAGTTGTCATGCTTCATACTTCTCACTAAAAAGAAAAACATTTTAAATTAAAGTTATTGTCAGGGGCAGCTAGGTGGTACAGTGGATAGACTACCAGCTCTGAAGTCAGGAGGACTTGAGCTCAAATCTGATCTCAGACAAGACACTTGACACTTACTAGCTGTGTGACCCAGGCAAATTACTTAATCCCAATTGCCTTGCCAAAAAATAATAATAAATAAATAAATAAATAATAAATAAATAAATAAAAAATGAAAAGAAAGCAATAATATCAATAGCTAACATTTCCATAGCACTTTAAGGCTTGCAAAGCGCTTTAAAAATACACTCTCATTTTATATTCATAACAGCCCTGGCAGGTAGATGCTATTATTATCTCTATTACACAGATGAGGAAACTAAAGGAGACTTGCCCAGTGACACAGTGCTAATAAGTGGCTGAGGTCAGATTCAGGTCTTCCTGGCTCCAACTCCAACACTCTATCCATTATGCTATGTAGCTGCCTCTAGGAAGGCTCATGACAGATTGATATAGCAGAGCAGGGATTTGTGCTCTATACAACAAATTTTGGCTACTGAACCAGAATTCATAATGAGGCATCCCAGCTAGCTACCTTTTGGCAGGCTCAAGGAAAGAGAGGAGTTTAGAATGGGCAGTATGAGGGCAGAATTGTGAGGGATCAGGCTAGACTGTCTTGTTTACAAACATAGAGGGAAACATCATAAACAGGACCCAATCATGAAGCACAGGTTCCAGAAGTCTGAGACCAAAGTCACAAAAAGATACATTGGCCAAAGCATAGAAAGCCAGAGCTCTCAGTCCAAACTCAGTCTGGAAAACTAGCATGGTTATCCTAGGGGACAAAGCAGGGCAAAATGACTACTGCACATTGCTTCGATAAGGCTTAGGCTGATTCCATCTCCTTTGAAATGGCACTGCTATCCAGGGTTCAGAGAGCTCTTCACTTAAGGAACCAGGTGAGATAGAAGACAACGCTGGAGTACCATTATACTGGATGGAGTATTGGCAATACAGCATGGCCAAGAATGAGAGAGACCTTTAACAGCCATCTTCCCCATGATGCTTCTAATATGCCAGTTACAGCACAAATGCTGAAGTGACAGCTCCAACAATTTATTCTGCTGCCTGGTTAAATTATGAGATAAGAAAATAAGATCTGTCTCCTTCTGTGATATAACTCATGAGCTCATAAGACAGGGGACTGAAGGCAAATTAAATGCAGCCAGAAGCTGGGAACCTCACTCAGAGGGACCTAAGAAAGGCATGAATGACTGCAGTGCATTTGTGCTGATAAGAGAGATCCTCGTTCAGTGTGTTAGACAGTCAAAGCACTTTTAGTCCTTACTCTTGAGACTGAATGCTACTTTCAAGAAAAGTTTCAGATGTGTGTGGGAACTATAGTTTTCTATCTTCCTTATACCAGTGAAGCTGACATCTAAGTAGCAACCTAACATTGCTGAGAAAGGAAAAACAAAGTCTAGCAATGAGAAAATCCCATAGGTATGTTTCCTTGGAGAACACTTTCTGAAAAATGTCTGTAAAGAAAGATCCATCGCGTTGGAGTAGTGCTATCCGTTTTGAGGCTTTCAGCACTCAAAAAGTTTAAAACAAAAGCACGAAATATGCTTTAATTTAAAGAGCTAAGGATGTATTTAAACTTCAAGAAATACTAAAGTTACTTACAAAGATGAATCTATTCGGCGAAAGTGATTTCAGCATTGGGTACTCAGTTAACTTGTCAAGGTCAAAAGAAGTGCTAAAGGCTCCTGGTGTCTACTGAGTATTGGAGGAGGTGCTGGGGGCAGGATAGGGTAGTAAAGCAGTAGAAAACTCCCTGAATCCCAACTGGCTAAAGAAAGACAAAGAGCTAAAAACTTTGTGGTGAAGTCAACACTTCAACTTCTGTCTATTCTAAAGTTGCAAAGAAACAGCCCAAAAAGGTTGGTTTGGGTTTTTTCCAAAATAGACCCTTCTCCTATACTCTTTCTTTTGCTTTCCTCCTATTATTTAAGGAAATGCTGTTTTTGAATACTGGATGGATTGGATTTTATCAACTCTTTTCAAACTATGACGCTCTTTTTGACTTTAAATTCAATTGTCTTCACCTGGAAGAGGACTTTTAAGTAATTTTTTTTTCAATCTGCAATTTCTTTTTTTGCTTTCAACAAAAAGCACTATCAAGTTTTACCTCCTTCCCTTTTCTTCTTGAAAGTTTTTTGTTTGTTTGTTTTTCCCCAACCACACCTTCTCAATGGCTGTAGGACATTTAAATATTTTTTGGAAAGAAATATGGGAAAGAACTGAGCAACTGCATGCTTTTTCATTATCAATATATTCTACCTAATAGTCTGTTTCACTTTGTAAAATAATTCTAGAATAAATGTGTTTGTAGAACAATATACTGTCTCTTGTAGAGTATCTGAGATTTTGAAAATCAACATTTCTATATCAGGAACAAAACATTAATGTAATATCATGAAAATGTGAATTGCTTACTTGGTGAAGACATCTCACAGGGACCAATTTCTGTAGATGACAGGATCAGTGTTTTTTTTGGCACAGTTATTTACTCTACCAAAACAGATCACAATCCCTTCTGAAACTAAGTAATCTTCAAGAGTTGTTGTGGCCAAAAATTACTGATATGTACGTATTGCACCCCCCAAAAAAACATACACATACATGTACAAACTTTTTTTTAGAGGGTCTAGATTTATGATTTCAATGATACCGGGAACTCCTGGTGAAGAAACTCCTTCTATCAACACAGATAAACACCTGCTCTACAACTTAAAGTCTGAGTAGCCTGAAACAGTGAGAAGTTAAGTGACTTGCCCAGGGTCACAGAGTCATTTGAACTCTGGTCTTTCTGACTCCAAAACTAGCTCTCTATACTATAGCATGTTGACTTTATATCCTATAGTATATACCCCACTTTAAACTGAAATGATACATCCATTTGTTTCCTAAGGCACATGATAGTATTTAGTATGACAGAGATTTTATTCTTAAATGAAAAGGTATTTCTACCAAATCAGTAAAAAACAAATATAATCCACATAGCCATCTACTTATTTCTCTTTCAATGATATAGCAAAAACCTCAGCTAGATCCACTGACACCCTGAATAGCTATGGGTTGAACACACAACTGCATTAATTTAGATCCCACTAATTTGAAATTCGTAATTCAATTATATATAAACATATATGTGTGCATATGTATATACTTCTTGTTATGTAAAAATTATATTTAAAATGCTTATGTTAGACATCTTTAATATTTAACACAATACTGTTCAATGTAAGTTTCTTGTGATATCATTTTCTTTAATCAAATTAGTTAATTTGATTGGTTGGTATCCATTTTTACCTGACCTGATAGTATGTTTATAAGTACAGTACACTATGGTATAGTATAATTTATAGCATACTTTATTTTAGTTATTGGCTTCCACTCTTACCTGGGTTTATAGCTTATTTAATTACATTACCGTAGTTTAATTCCATTACTTTAGGGTAGCCTGTTGGATGGAGAGCTGGCCTCAAAAACAGGAAGACCTGGGTTCATGAACTGCCTCTGACACATACTGGCCATGTGACCTACACTTAATCTCTCAGTGAACTCAGCAACTAAGACTTTAAATTGATTTTTTAAAAAACGTGCAAATCTGTGCTGGTAAAAAAAACTTCCTCATTTGGGAATTTCTTCCTATGCCAGTGAAATCTCAGGTCCATCGATATCCCTATCTCACTGCAATTTATAACAATGTTCAGTAGCAACAAAACTATAGTTTAAGATCCCATACAACAGCTGAAATGAGATTTCTGTTCTATATTCCAAAATAGTGAACTTTTTACTTCTTCTGAATTTCTGTCTTAAAGTCAATCATGAGAGCAGAAAACACAGAAAACTGTGAAATTTTCAAAATGGAATTTTTCTGGGTTGGCTTAGGTTTCTAAGATAGAACCACTGTACCTCACAGAGCAGTAAGTCAATGATGTGGAAGACCATGCATAGAGGAAACTTGGCAGTGAAGAGAGTGAGAAACCATTGCGATGCATACATATGAGCCTCCAGGTTCAGGTCACAGAAGTGGCTATGCAGGTCTGGTAATTGCTCCTGGAATTTAAAGAGGAAAAATGAGGAAAAAAGAATTTAAGTCAGCAAATATTTATTTCAAGTCCACTAAGTACAAGATGTTGTGCTAGGCAATGGAAATGCCAAGATGGAAAACAATATTATCCTTGCTCTTAGAACCCACAGCCTCCTGTAGGGATATTACATTTACACAAATAAGAAGAAAACAAGGAAGATTATGAAGACGGAAAGGAGTAAAGCTCCAAAAGTTTTTATTATTGCTGATTTAGAATTTTATGGCAAATACAGCCATTATCCCTCAACCCCAGTTTAACTCAAATGCCTCATAATGGTGTAGAGGTGACCCTGTATTCTCAAAGACTGTGCCAGCAAATCACAAGCTCCAGAAGGTCCTATCCATCTGGAAAGATGATTTCCAGGACAGTACAGGTTCAGGAAGAAACTGTATTGTCGTCCGAGGGCAGTCAGGTCAATATAAGGGAGATTTATCACTAAGCTGGTTGCAGAGTAATGCATTTTTTGGCCACTGCAATTCCCAAAGATCATTTGCTAAGTTACAGAAGGGTAGTGAATGGTCTGCATTAGTAGAGGGAGGGAACACAGTGATGTAACCACAGATACTCAAAATATTAAAATAAGTGTGAATGTAACAAGGGGAATCAAGAGAGTCCTTCAGATCTACTCTAGTGAGAGCATATCCCATGGAGCATGCATGGAGTTGAGCTAAATTCTCCTGGGCCACTTCCAGGAACACATGGTCAGGGTTAAATGACTATGGATGTGGAAGTAAACCTTGAAGCTCCTTCTGGCCTGGGCACATGTATCCCTAAAAGTGTCCAGGAGTGCTCAACACAACTCCACAAATGCTCCACAGGGTATGCTCCAGCTGGAAGAGATTATGGAGGCTCCACTGATTATGATCATTATATAAGTATTTCTATTGTCACTTTAATCACCTTCTAAGATTTACTGTTTCAGGAAACATTAGAAAAGTGACATAAGGACAAGCACTGGAGTACATAAACAGGCAAGCAAGTGAATAAAATAAATAAAATTATGCTATGAACACACCAAGTCTATGTCATTTGTTCTACAGAAAACTTTACCCTTTGGCAAACCAAGACTTCTGCTTGATAAAGAGCATGAAGATAAAGATAACGACCACTTCTATAACTCCAGTTCATATTTTGATAGCCCCCTCCCATCAACGCCTAGATATATATGAAAAAAATTGTATTCTTTCCTTTAAAGACTAACCAGAATCAAGAGGATTTGTAGAGAAAAGAAGCAGTCTGCGTGGCAGAAAAAGCCTTGTTTGGAGTCAGGCCATCTGATTTCTAGTCCTGTCTTTTGAATGAACTAATTTTTTTTAATTTATGCAAGACACCTAACCACTTTGTGTTTGTATTTCCTTATCTATAAAATGAAAGGGTTGAATTGAATGATCTTATTTTCCCGGCTCTAACTTTTTATGCCTCAATCCGTCTAGCTTCCAGATTATGCAATCATTCCAATGGCTTCTTTAGAACCTAGACAGTTTCAACAACACACAAAAATTCTTATTTTGCTTTTACAATAATAGTACACCGTAACATCCTACACCCAAACAATTAATGAAATTGTTCAAGTACATTGTATGGGACTAAAATGACCTTGTATGAGAACGTCATTTTTCTTCTCCCAGGAAAATGAGCGAAGACTCATGTACTAAGAGGAAGTTAAATTTTATCTGCAAAAGCACAGAAGGCAAAATACAGCCATTTTCATTACTGAAAAGCCAAGGTCAAAATATAGGCGTAATTCTTACTCTAGTTTCCATGATTAAACCATTGGGAAAACATCAACTGTTGCACAGTGTGACTACTTTAAAACTATCACAAATGCATAAATACATATACATCCTTTAAATGGGGTCCATTTCAAGTGGTATCACCCTGTAGATAGATCATATTACTAAAAATGCTAATGGAAGAGAACAAGTTATTTCATGACACTTAGGATTTTTTGCTCTTCATTCACCATATATAATAAGCTAGGCTAGGGAGGTCAGAGGATTAAGCAATTACATCCAATATGATGTTCTCCTAATTATATCTCATGATGAAAACCACAAAAATCAACCCAAATCAGATGGAACCAACAGCTATCTACTATTATTTCAAGAACATCAACCCTCTGTGTATCAGGACAATGCTTTCTGTCATCAGGTTACAAACCTTTCAAAAGCATGAACTTTTTTTTTCTATAAACGAAAACTTAAAACAGCTGAATGATCCTAAAATTACATCTGTTAGAACGAAATCTCAAAATATCTTGCTTCTTGAATGCTTAGAAAGACCCAAATTTATTAGTCTTTTTTTCCCCTCCATTTCTTAATGACCTTGTTCTTGAGTTTCACTTGACATTCATTTTTAACAGTGAACAGGACCATGAGACTTGCGTGGGAAAAACTGAAAACATTTTCTACTTCTAGACCTATATTTGGCCCGGACCTGTTAATTTGAATGCTTTCCCTGTAACTCTCCTAATTTTTTCACATCAACAGTTGTGGCAGTCTGATAGCTAACAACTCTATAAAATGCCTCCCAAATAAATGTACTTTATTAAAATAAAAATCTTTAATGTGCCAGACATAGTAAGTTTCAAAATATAAGCACCACTTTAATGAAATTTAATTTCTCATGGGTATTAAGACTCATATAGAGATTAGGCAAAGTCCATGCTCATTTCTAACATCTGTACAATATCCAATAGAACTTCCTCCCTCACCCTAGAACATCCCTATAATGGCTTTTCAGATTCCCCTCGCCAATAGATTAAAAAGCAGTGATTCTGACCTTACCTGCATGAGCCGTTCCAGTTGATAGAATTTACAGTGAAGATCCTCGAAGTTATTTTTGTAGAGATCCCTCAAACCATAGTCATACATAATCTTCACCAAAACACAGAATGCCTGTTCTTCAGGCATCTGGAGAGGGAAAAATACAATGAGAATGACTGAGGAGTGTGAAGGGGAATTCCTTTCTGGTCTTATTTTGCTGTATAAATGGCTACAGGTCTTCATGAGAAATGGGTTCCACAGCTTCCAACAAAACAGTGATGAAGAAAGAACTTTTTCTATAAGGCCCCCAGATCTACCTGTTAAAGTCCTTTTACCTCCTCACTGGAGCTTCTCTCCCAACAAAGTATTCAGGCCCTTCTTTCTTTCCTATAAAAATCTGCTCTCAGCAGAGGATCTGATAGGATTTCTTGCAGTTTGATAGAATGGAAGCTCTTTGAGGGCAGGAGGCTTTCATTTTTATACCTGCTTCCTTAGCACTTAACCCAGGGCCTGTCACAAAGGACTGCAACAGATAGGTCATCTCGGGAGTGAAGGCACTAGTTACTGGGAAAATTAGGAAAGATGCCCTCTTACAGAAGACAGGAATTGGAGCTGAGTCTTAAATGAAGCCAGAAAAACTAACAGGCCATCTTCTACAGATGCCTTTCCTGATTCCCCCCAGGAGCTAGTACCTCCTCCCTTTTCTGTAAAAATTCTTATATTTTTAAAATATAATTCGTAAATACATATATATGTACATATGTACACACACATACACACACACACACACACACACACACACACTCCCTCAACAACCTCCAAGAGATGACTCTTGATAAACTTCTAATACTTTCATTTATTTCTGTATAGCTGTGCATTTCAGTTCCTACTCTTGGTGACCCCATTTTGGGGTTTTCTTAGCAAAGATAATTTGGTAGTTTGCCATTTTCTTCTCCAGTTCATTTTACAGATGAAGAAATAAGGCAAACAGGGCTGAGTGACTTGCCCAGGATCACCCACTCGTGAGTGTCTGAGGCTGCATCTGAACTCATGAGTCTTCCTGATGCCAAGCCCAGTGCTCTATCCACTGCACCACCTAGCTGCCCCAACACTTGACATACAGTGAGAACTTAATAAATGCTTGTTGATGGATTGGACAGAGGTACAAATGTAATGAAATATGAGCTACACGGCAGCCCAACGGGGTAGTACTTTGTGGATACCAAGAACCCTGAAATCCTATCAAATAAGCAGCTGACCCAGCTGTCATGAGCCATCTATCAGAGGCATATACACATACAAAACCATCTATTTTGAAATGTGCTTAGTGTATTTGGCTCGGTCACTTGTTTTAGAGCAAATGTAGCTAGTGTATGAAATACCAAAGAACGATTAGGGGGAAAAAAATGAATCATCCTTTGTTTACAAGTGAGTCAAACTAGTTAAATGGTTAGGGGAGTTGAAATTCAAGGTAAGAGGCCACATTTGAACTCAGTTCTTCCTGACTCCAGACCCAGCATTCTATCCACTGAGCCATTTAGCTACCTCCTAAAGAGCATGAAGATGACGTTAATGAATGCAAGGCACCAAATCTAAAAACTATCTTCTAGGCCTAGACAGAAGTAATTCGTGATTGTGACTGCTGAACTGTTGTCAGTAATGTCTGAAAAATCACGAAGCATGGAAATGGAAGAGGTGCCACAGAACTGGAGATAGGTTAATATCTCATTTTAAGGGGGGAAAAAGTAGAATCCACAAAACATTGAGATGATGAGCTTGATTTCCAGGACGTATCATTATTTTGTTAATGTTCTAACAGATAGGCAGTCATCACTGAGCTGACACACCTTCATCAAGAACATGCCATGCTAGAATAATGCTAGTACTTTTGTTTTGAAGGTTCAGTAGGCTAGTAGATTGGGGCAGGTTGGGGCGGGGGGTGTGCATATGGCATACCTACACTTCAAAATGTATTTAACAAAGTGTCCTTTATTTCTATCCCTGTAGAATAAGATGGTGATATAGGTGATCTAAATGACAGCAGTTAGGTTGATTTACAAATGGCTGAATGACCAGATCTAACAAGTAATCATTGAAAAACAAACAAACAAAAAAGAAACCCTTCACCATACAGCCCTCTGGACTACAACTGACATCTGTGCAACTCCCCTCATGCTCCACCTTTCCCACACCACCACAAAGATCTGGAGCAACCCAGCCTTGTTCAGAGCCCAAGAAGGAGCCAGCTGCAGGATGTGCAACTGTCCTTGCATCCCTAGCACAGTGCATGATACTTAGTAGGCACTTAATGGTTGTGAAATAAAGTAAACGCTTTGGAAGAAAGTTGTGAAATTTGTGATGACTAGGTGTACTACAAAGTCATGCTTTCTAATCTCAATTGGGCCGTCACTGCTACAAGGCAATTCTTCTATTCTTCCATGTTTTATCAATTAGGCTTTCATCAAAGCTGTTCCAAATGTTCTCTTCTCTCCTAAATCCCTTCTGCTACCAAGCCCATATCCCTTTTTTCCTTTCTCTTCCTACTTACAAGGCTTCTGTGAGATATCCCTTACTCCATATCTCAAAGCCATTTTATACCTTGTCTTCTCTTCCTTTGCTCAAGTCTTTAAGAAGTCCCCTAAATCTGCCTCTTTGTTAAGACTAATATCTCTCCTTATGTCCTCTTTCCATCTCTTCTAGGCTCCTGCAGAAGATTAACTCTGGGATCAACCACTCCCAACTTCAATGTCTCCTGGCTCATGCCTAGATATCAAACAAAACTTCTCTGGACCCTCCCATACTCACACTATTGTCCTGTAACTCCCAAGAATAAGTCATCCTGACTTGCTGACTCACCATCACTGTTACTGAAACTATCAATCTCTTATCAGTTTAATCTAATAGCCTTTCCTCAGTCCTCACCTTACTTTTCTTCTAGTTAGTTTTTGATAGGTAGAGCTGAACAAAGCTTCCCCCTCCATATTATCTCCTCCTTTTGAATAGTGAGACATGACTCCCTTCTACGTCCTGCCTGTCTGTTGTTTGTATAGCTATGAGCACATCTGTCTCTCAAATTACCTTTTACTTACATACAAGTGTACATGTTGTATGTGAATTACATAACAGTAAGGACTATCTCATTTTCTGTCAGCATCCCCAGAAACTAGACCATTGTCTTGAACATGGAGAAGGCTTAATAAATGTTGAATTTAATTTGAGTTCCCTAGTTCAGGCCTCATAACCCCTTGCCTGTGCTACTATAATTGCTTCCTAATTGGTCTCCCTGCCTGAAGTCTCTTCGCTTTCTAATCCATTCTCTTTATATTGATATAATTAATTAACTGTAAGGCTGTTTTTCTTTACCTCTACCTCTCAAAATTTAGAGTTCCATTAAAGGCCCAAGCAACTCAAGTGCCACTATCCACACAAAGCCATTCTCCATGATCATTGGTGCTTCCCAGCCCCAAAGTCACTATGTATTTATTTTGCATCTGCTTTTATATTTACTTCACTTTTATGGGTTTTTTTTCTCCCAGTAGAATGTCAGCTTCTCGAGGGCAGGGATTATCACTTTTGTCCTTGTATCCTTAGTGCCTATCACTACGCCTGCCACATAGTAGGCACTTAAGGCACAAATCTTATGACTAGACCTAGAGCTGCAAAGGACCTTAAAGGTGATATAGTAATAATTATAACAGCAGCTAGCACTTCTATAGCATTTTAAGGTTTGCAAAGTGCTCTACAAAGGTTCTCATTTTATCCTCACAACAACCCTGTCAGAGGTAGGTGCCATTATTTATCCCTGTAGTTATCTGTATGTATATGCCTTATCAGCTCTAATTGATTATAAACTTATATAGTTACAAACAGGTCCATGACAGCAAGGACCTGTCCATAAGGCTGTAAATTCCAAATACTTAAAAACAACAACTTTAATACTGCTTTAAAGTATACAAAGTTAGGTGCTATTCCCTCCATTTTACAGAAAAGGAAACTGAGGCTGAAAGACATTTAGTGACATACCCAGGCTCACACAATTAGCAAGTGTCTGAGTCAGGATTTGAATTCAGATTTTCCCAATTTCACGTCAAGCACTCTAATGACCACACCACATAGCTGCCAAATCATTTTGCAGGTGAGAGGAACTGAGGCAAAAAGTAGTTAAGTGGTCTCACATGTGGAGATTTCCTTTGCCAATGTAGACTTTAACTCAACATGCCTATCCATGCTGTGTGACTCACTATGGGGGGTCCACTCAATATGCTGGGAGTCTTCTTTGAATACACCAGTAGAAGACAAGGACATCAAGGCTGTCCACTGCTCATCCTTTGCTCTTGCCATGGGTCTAGGCCTTTTTTTTAAACAGTATCATTTACTTCAAGGTAGTGAATAAGGAAAGAGGATTAACAACTGTGGGGATCATACAAAAATTCATTGAGAGGAAGTGAATGAATAAGCATTTATTAAATGCTTACTGTGCACCAGGCTAAACGCTGGGTTACATGTGTTTTGAAGAGAGACAGTTCTTGCCCTTAAGGAGCTTACACTCTCATAAGGACGACAAGGGGAGAACTGACTGGGGAAAAGGGTTTGTTCCGGGGAGGTGGCAGGAGTGCTAGGGGTGGGGGGAAGGGCCACGTGCATGGCAGTAGATGGATGGCGAGAAGGCTTGACTGGAAGGCTGGATGAGATGCGAAGCGGAAGCATGTTCTAGTGCGGCGGTGGGGAACTTCACAGTTGTTTGGGTTCAGTCAAAGGGCCACACTTGAGAACCTAGGGGACACAGGTTCCCCACTCCTATTATGTAAAGTAGCAGAGGCACTGTGGGTTAAGTAGCCAAATGTGCACATATTCAGGCATCAATCAACTACACTGCTCTCCTCCACTTACTCTTGATCTAGCTTCATGAGCCTATGCTGTATCCCCCAAATGTAACATTGCTCACCCCTATATCTTTGTACTGGTGTTCCCCTATTTCTGGGATGATCTTCCCTCTTTCCAAAAATTCCTATTCTTTCTCCCTTCCCTCCCTCTCCTTTCTCCCCTGCCCTGCTCTCCTCCATTCTCTCTCTCTCTCTCTCTCTCTCTCTCCCCCCCTTGCCTTCCTCTCCTCCACTGTCTCTCTCTCTCCTTCTCCTTCCCCCTCT